ACAGAAGGGGGGTTTTTTCCAAATAATCGCGCACCGTCGGCTGGGCGGTCCGCCCTCCCGCAACTTCGCGGTCCTGTGAGTCTGGTCATGCTCGGCAGTTCCTCGGGAGAACTGCCGGGGTTTCCGAGCCGACAACTCCCACCCGCTGGACTTGGGACCAAGCCAGACGCAATATTCGTTTTATCCCGAACCAAGTTTCACCAATGGCTCCTGGAATCGCGATCTTGGGCGCTGGAATTTTTGCCAAGGAAGGTGAGGCGCGATCCGCTAGTTCAGACTCTTGACAGTCCCGAACAAACTCTAGCACATCTTCCGGCCCTTTTGGCGTTGGGCAGCGACGCGCCTCCGCTGCTTGCAGTCTACTCGCGCTCTGAGAAGAGTTCGCACGATTTCTCCGAAGCGGCCGTCGAGCTGGGTATCTCACCGGCACCTGCGATCTACCACGATGGCGATCCCGCCGCGGATTTAGATGCGCTCCTTGCACGGTCTGACATTACCGCCGTCATCATCGTCCTGCCCATCACCCTGCAGCCGGCGATTGTCCTGAAGGCCCTTGCAGCAGGGAAACACGTCTTAAGCGAGAAACCCGTTGCGCCTGACGTCGCTAGGGGAATCAGTCTAATCAACGAGTATAACGAGAAATACAAGAAGAATCTGGTTTGGCGCGTAGCAGAGAATTGGGAAGCGGAGCCGGGATTCCGCGCTGCGGGTGAACTGATCGCGTCTGGTAAAATTGGGAAGGTCAACTTCTTCAAGGCGGTAGCATTCAACCACATCGATCGCGATAACAAGTACTACAAGACACCGTGGCGCACAGTCCCCGATGTGCGTCTCATATCTATTTCTCTCTTGCCGCGGGTTAACAATTTGGGTATGTAGTATCAAGGTGGATTTTTGGTAAGGTTGTTCATTCGTCCCGAGGTTGCGAACTAATAATTTTTCGATAGCTCGACGGAGGCGTTGTATGTTTTCGAACGTATTTTCACTCTATGTTATAGGTTAACCTCCACATTCAGCACACAGCCGGTGCTCTGCGAACTATGCTTCCCGAGCCATTGACGCATCTCTCGAGTTTCGCCTCGCTAAATTATGAATATCTAAAACCGCACGATACGATCCACGCTGTTGCCAAAGCTGGCTCCCACTTCCACGGCATAGTAGAACTCTCATTCGGCGCTCCCACTAAATCGACGCCGTCTTCGGACCAGTTCGTCATCTCGGGCTCGGAAGGCTGGATGACCCTCAACTTCGCCAAGGGCGGGGAATCAGGGCAGGTGCTCCGTATCCGCATCAAGCGTGCGGTAAAAGTCGAGGGACAGCCAACTGAAGAGACGGAAGAAATTATCGATAAACCAGCGAAGGGTGTCGAGGCGGAGTTTGCCAGTTTCTTCGATGCTATTGGGGGGAAACCGGCGTTGGATATCGGCGATCCACTCGAAGCGCTGAAGGATGTGGCGTTCATCCAGGCGGGGTTGAACAGTGGAGGAGAATTAGTTGATCTGGCCAAGCTAGTGGCGGAGGGGAAGTAAAGGTGTTATGGTACCGGTGTTGCAATTGTACATGTTCGAATAACCTTGGCTGTCTTAAGCTGGATATCAGCACGCACCCGAGTGTGGTAGATTCGAACAAGTCAGAAGAACGACCAACTATGCCATCATATGAGATGCGATGAAACCGAGCGAGGTTGTCTTGGGTCGTTTCTTTGAGTTTATCGAGATATCGCCTCGTCCGCTGCGCGGGGCTATCTTGGGTTCCGGGTTGACTCCTGTTAACGTTGAACCGTTAGATTGTGCGGCAGTCTTAATATTCCTGACGCGAACGTCAACTATTCTCCCGCCTTCAATATCTTCACAGCCTCTTCAAAGTTCGGAATCTCATGTGCCCTCTGCATTGGCCCTCCCCATCTTACCATACCTTCCCCATCCACCGCGAAGCTCCCAGAAGTCTGCCATCTATTTCCGCTCTCCGTGTCCCGATTCCAGATCCCCTCGTCCTTCCCAAGCCGATAAACCGCCCACAAGCCAGAAGGGCTCAGAAATGCCCGAGAGACGAATCCCAGACCCCACAGCGCGAATATGTCCCGGTCCGCGTCGACTAGGATTTCAACCCTCCTCCTCCGACGGCGGCGACCCAGCGGGCAGTCGCGCTTTCGTCGCTGTGCGATACCGCGACGAAGCAAATGCCGGGGGTGTGTGCGGCCGTGGCGCGGAGGGCTTTGAATGTCTTTTCTACGACTGGTTGGCTTAGCTGCGACGGTACCCGTTACACCTAGCTTGAATATACAAACATGGGCAACCGCAGTGGCGGAGGAAGGTTATGATCGTCGGCCGCCCGTCTGGGTTGGGCAAGTGCAGCCGGTCCGAGGAAGGTGCCTTGGAGCCGACCGCTGGCGGCGGCTGAGTTGGCTTTGCCTGCGGGACCCAGAAAGAATTTAGTTCCTGTCGGAATGTCATTGGTTGGGAAGCTGGTGAGTAGAGGGAAGGAAGAAAGATGACGCGCTGTCGATATGCGGATGCACCTTTATATTAGAAGCGTGTGAGCAGTTCTTCCCAATCAGGGTTTCTCACCTTCCCACGGTTCGAATGGGCGTTTGCAATTGAACGTTGTAAAATCACAGAAAAGACTAGGAGAAGAACATGCAAGTGCGACACTATGGAAGTGGTCTCAACACGGGCTCGGCAGTCCCAGTGGAATGGACGACGATGAAATTTGAACTCAATCTTGCAAATTTGCCGAAAAATTGTCGCCAAGCGGATGGCGACTATGGTCCTCCGAGACCTTTAAGATCTCGTCAGCCGTGCTGTCCCGCACCGAAAACTTCAAAGTTCCAGCCTCTACTCCTGTCCACTGAGGGCGGCATGTTCCCAAACAACAGCCGGATAAGTACTCGGATTCGATGGTTCAAATCTCGATACATGAAGACGAGGAGGTGAGAACAAATGGCCAACGAAGCCCCAGCCGCAACCTTACCGAATCCAGTCGGCTGCCCCTCCGAGTCCCAGGAGATCATAATTTCGTGTTGCACGCATGTTCCGTATTGTTCGTGTAGAATGCGAATTCTAGGAGAGCGAGACCCACTGTCGTAGCAGAGTGAGAATCCGGTATGCATGCGATAAGTACATGGCGATAGGGCAAGGCGGAGCCCGAAGCGCGGACAGGAAAGGCAGCGTTGATCCTGACACGAGCAGGCGATCCCAGTCTCGGAGAATGACGTGTCCGTTGAGATGCACGTCGCGCGCTGGGGATCGAAGCCGTCGACGTCGACGTGGAGCGGGCAGATCAATACCTCGCGCGCTGCACGTCGTAGATAGACACCATCGTTCGTCCCGTCCCATACACGAGTCACCGATCGTCTGCGGTAATTCTAAATTCATATCCCTCATAGATAAGAGAGAGCACGGCTCACCACAAACCGCCGCTTGCAAAACTTTTCGCTGAGTGCGACCGCGACAAAAAGTACGGGGTCCAGATTTGACTCAATTGACTGCGTTCAAGTAACAAAAACCGTACTCCACTGGATCGATGCATTAAGGGGGAATCGAACCCCCGGCGGGTCGAACACTTTGTTATAATTTTATGGCAACGACCCAGGTTACCACTACCCCATTAATGCGGTACTTGGTCTGCCTTAGCAAGTGTGTGTATGGAGGGCCAGCAAAAAGCGGGTCCAGTACGTGATGCATTAAGGGGGAATCGAACCCCCGGCGGGTCGAGTCAGTCTACCGAACATATTAATGGCAACGACCCAGGTTACCACTACCCCATTAATGCCTGCCTATGCCTTCCCCACCGACTCTTATAGTCCGCTCTCCGAACTTGATACGTAGGTGAGGTGACGGGTGAAGGAATCTGATCCCCGGCACCCCGCTGATCTGATCCCCGGCTCTACACCGCTCTGCATCAGCAAGCACCTTGAATCCAATCCAATCTGGATGGATCGCCCGCTGGGCCCGCGGCAGCCGCCTGAGCGCAACGCGGCGTACGAGGATATCTTTGGGAGGAGGCCTGCGCCCCGAGTACCGCAATATGCCAGCCAGGTACCGCCCATGGGCAGGCCACCCGGATACCCGCAGAGCCAGTATGCGCCGTCGCTGTATCCGCACCCCCAGTATCCACAGCAGCAGGGCCAGTATTACCCACAGCAGCACCCCCACCCCCACCCCCAGCAGCAGTATGCGCCCGCAACAGCAGGGCACGGACAGGTGAACGCCCAGGGACTGACGCCGGCGCAGGCGTACCAGGCGCAGGTCGCGCTGGGCGGGCCGGCCGCGGCGTGGAGGAGTCCGAGTCCGGTGCCGGGGTATGTGTCGGGGGGGCCGGGGTATGCGGCGCAGCAGGCGTATCCGTATCCCCATGCACAAGGCGCGGGAGGGGGACCACGCACGCACGAAGGAGCAGGACCAGCAGGAGTGGGAAGGCAGAGGGACTCCCTCCCGCCCGCGCTCAGCATCCCCATCGGCGCGGACGGCGGGCGGCTGGGGATCAGCTTCGATGAGGAGAGTCCGGGGGGGTGGGCCCCGAATGGTGCAACAGCAGCAGGGGAGGAGGATGGGGAGGATGGGGACGGGGACGGGGACGGGGACGGGGTGGATGGGGATGGGGACGGGGGAGAGGAGGAGGAGGAGGAGGATGAGGAGAGTGAGTTGCCTTGGGCGAGAGGTGAGTCGGTTGTCCCTCCATGTTCTACTCGGGCTCCGTATCCTATATCACACATCGATTCCCCTCCCCCCGCACGGACGCACGGACGGCCGCGAGTCTGGAGGCGCTCCCGCGAGGTGCTCGGGAGGCGATCAGTGGCGAGATCACTGACGTCTTGGCACCGCCCCCCGCCCCGCGATCGATTGCTTCGTGCTTCGTGCCGCCCGTCCTGCGTCTGCATTGGCGTTATTCTCCCCGTCATCTTTTTCTTGTACCGAATTGCGCTGACCCTTTTTTGGTTTGTTTAGCACCACAACGTGAGTAGTGTGTTTTTGCGTCTTCATTCGTCTCGAGTTTTGTTTCGGAGAGTTCTTTTTGTGGGGAGGGGAGAGGTGTTCTACGACGCACGCTCTCGATGGGGACGGTGTGTTCTCGGATACACCGTTCCGATGGCTTTGATTTCCGCGGTTCTTTCGTCTCGTCTGGGTGCTGACTTTCTTTGCTTTTCTATGCCGTGCGATGCGATATCCAGAACTACAACGTACGTCTCGTTTCCTTCCCTTCCCTTTTTCCTGTTCCTTTCCGTGCGTTTGGCTGTCGCACGCTCGATCGGTTTCCTCTTTCGCTTGCCGTTCTTTCGTCGTCATAAACTCGTACTGATTCAATCGCTTTCTATCTACAGAAATACAACGTGCGTCCCTCCCTTCTGTTTCTGTTTCCCGTTTTGTTTTCCCCGTTTTCGGGACCGGAAGCCGGGTCTGGTTTCATCATGCTATTCCCAGTCTTGGCTCGCGTTCAGCGCCCGCCCTGCCGAGCGTGGACGGGCGCGATGCCGTGATGACGTTCGCACGTTCCTTGCTGCGCTGCGCGTCTACCCTCTATCGCGCTGTGATATATATCCGGCACAGACAGCCACGTCGCGTGTGCCCCCGCGACGCATCGCGGGATTGGGGCTCTCTACTTGTTCCTTGATCTTCCACAACTGCTTCGTCTTCTGTGCAGTTCCCTTCTTGGGTTCGGCGTCGGCGTCATGCATTCATTCGTTGTGCACATTCCGTTTGGTATTTATATCATGTGCGTGGGGCGTGGGGCGTGGGAGGAGAGATTTAGAGGGGATTGCATCTCTCTCTCTCTTACTCGCTCGATCGTCGAGACGACGACGCGCTTGACGGGATGTTGCTGTCGTTTTCGTCGATCTGGCAACGTGCGTGGTGCTGACGTTTTGGGTCTCGGTTCTGTTTGGTGGTGTCGCTGCCGATCTGCGCGCTCGCGACGCTGTATCTACGCGCGCGCAGCGGATGCTCGAGACGAGAGGCTATCCCAAACTTTAAAGTTTGCGGTATGACGAGTCGGTGTCGTCGTGCAGTGTGTTCGCGGCGTTTGTTGGTTTTATTTAGGTCGGGGATGTCGGCGGACGAGGGACGCGACAGGAACCGCTATTTCGATTTTCCGCTTATCATTTCGTCGTGCGTCATCGCTGACGCCATTATTTGACAGCGCAATCGCAACCGCCGTACGCCGCCGCGGCTGCGCAGTACGCCCAGCGCTACCCGCACGCCCACGCCGCCCACCGCTTCTCCAGCGCGTCAGACACGCCGCCCACGTCGCTGCGCTCGTCCGTCGCCAGCTCGTCCACCAGCCCGACCAGCTTCGACCACGAGGGCTATTCCGCAAAGGCCAACGGATTCGCCGTGATGGGCAGCCACTCCCCGGCGTCGCTCGCAAGCCATTCGCCCGCGTCGGCGAGCCACGTGCCCGCGTCGCTGGCGGCGTCATCGCTCGCGTCACGCCGCTCCTCCGAGACGTCCCGCACGCTCCGCGGCTCGTCGGCCCGCGGCGCGAGCGCACGGCGCAGGACCGCGCAATGAGCATGTCCGCCGTCAGCACACCCACGTCCCCCGCCACCCCGGCCCTCCCCCCCGGCGCCGCCCAGCCGCACCACTCCGCCCCGCAGCACGCCAACTCGTCCTCCTCCACCGTCGCCGCCCCACGGCACAAGCGGCCCCCCCAGCCGATCGTCTACCCCGCCCTGCTCTCCCGCGTCGCCGAGGCCTTCCGCGCCCGCGTCCCCCGCGCCGACCGCGTCAAGGACGGCCTCACTTACCACGACGCGTTCGACGGCCGGGAGGCGGTCGATCGCATCGCACACATTATAAAGACGACCGATCGCAATCTCGCGCTGCTCCTGGGCGCGCGCTGGATGCGCAAAAGTTTTTCCACGATGTGACGTATGACCATCGGTTGCGGGACAGTGTCGTGGAGCTGTATCAGTTTCGGACGAAGCTGCCGAGTCCGTTTGGGAGTGGCGAGTTGGCGACGCCGGGCGCGGTGGGCGGCGTGAGGCCGAATGAGGGCGGCCAGGATTTGCTCGGTGCCCCGCCGCCGCCTGGAGGCGTGGTGTCGCCCGAGTCGTTCGACAGGCTGGATACGGGTGTGGCCGTGCCAGACAGTAAAGTGGTGGAGGAGGACGAGGCGCCGTTGCCGAGCGGCGTCTTTACCCTCCTGGCGGACTGCTACAGCCCGACCTGCAGCCGGGACCAGCTGTGTTACAGTATTGCGTGCCCGCGGCGGCTCGAGCAGCAGGCTCGGCTGAACATGAAGCCCCAGCCGGGCTTACGGAAGGTGCGTCCCTTTCTTTCTCACGGGCCGCACCAACGCTCCATCACCCAGGAAGCCTCGCGCGAATCCCTCGGCGTCGACGAGCCCGAGGCCGGCACCCTGTGGATCCACTCCGTCCCCGCCGAGATCGCCGCGAGCGTGTCGGACGCGGAGAAGAAGCGGCAGGAGGCGATCAACGAGGTGATCTACACGGAGCGCGACTTTGTGAGGGACATGGAGTACCTGCGGGATGCGTGGGTCGCGCGGCTGGCGGCGGCGGATATTATACCGCAGGAGAGGAGGGAGCAGTTTTTGATACAGGTGTTTTGGAATGCGCATGATATTATTACGGTTAACACCAAGGTGCGTCTCCCCTCTCTCTTGTTGGAAGAAGGAAGCAGGCTGATTGATTGATGGGGTGGACAGCTCCGAGACGCGCTGAACAAGCGCCAGCGCGCGTATGCGGTCGTCGAGAAGATCGGGGACATCTTCCTGGACGCGGTGCCGCATTTCGAACCCTTCGTGAGCTATGGGGCGCACCAGCTGTATGGCAAGTACGAGTTTGAGAAGGAAAAGGGCGCGAATCCGGAGTTTGCGGCGTTTGTCGAGGTGCGTCCATCCCTTCCTCTTCATCAAACAATTCTTTTATTTCGAAATTTGAAACGCTAACGCGGGGGTACACAACAGGCGACGGAACGCCTCCCCGAATCACGCAAGCTCGAGCTAAACGCCTACCTCACAAAGCCCACGACGCGGCTCGCGCGGTACCCCCTCCTGCTCGAGGCGGTGCTCAAGCACACGCCGGAGGACTCGCCCGACAAGACCGTGCTGCCGCAGGTCGTGGCGCAGGTGCGCGCGTTTCTGTCCCGCGTGAACGAGGAGTCGGGGCGGGCGGAGAATCGGTTTAATTTGGCGCAGTTGGATTCGCAGTTGGTGTTTAAGACGGGGGAGCAGGTTGTGAGTGTTTTCTCTTTTTACCCCCAAAAAAACAAAGGGGGGCACTGCCCTTCCTCTTTTTACTTCAAAAAAAGAAAGGGAACGGAGCTGATGATGGTAACAAATAGGATCTGCGGCTGCAAGAAGACGGGCGCGAGCTAGTGTATAAGGGCGTGCTGAACAAGCGCGACGGGGAGCTGCAGGTGTATTTGTTCGACCATGCGCTGTTGTTTGCGAAGCCGCTCAAGACGAAGACGCCGGAGCAGTTTCGGGTGTATCGACGGGTGCGTGTGTCTCTGTCGAAGCCCGTTCTCGTCCTTACACGTCGTAGCCCATCCCACTCGAGCTGCTGCTCATCAGCGCCTCAGAGGACCCCAGCGCCACCGGCAACGCCAACGGCAAAGACACCCTCCGCACCACCCGCGCCCGGCAACTCGTGCGCAAGTCCTCCTTCGGGAGCACCGCCACGCGGAACGCGCCGCATCCGCCGTCCGTGTCCGCCGTCACGCTGCGCCCCGACGCCAAGGGCCTGCACTGGATCACGTTCGCGCATCTCGGGCGCAAGACGTACAGTCTGGTGCTGTGGGCGAATTCGGCGC